CTCAATTAGGTGTATTCTACTCCTCACATTAGGATGACACCTACGTTTGGTTGGTGAAAACTGCAGTGGCCCTTCAAAATCATTTATCTGGGCATTGATGCAAGCTACCCCTTGTCTACATTGAGTACAAACCATTCTAAAAGATGTTCATCAGTTTTCATCTCAAATGAATTATTTTCCAAATCACGCCATAAGGTTATGTATTGCTTAGACCCCCACATGCAATGCTCAGCTACGAAATCAACCAACTGCAGCAGCCCAAAACTATGTATGTCATCAACAACTTTAGTTGGCAAAGTTTTACCCTGCTGCCATGACTTTGGACCATTGTCTGGCAAGCTGAAAAAAGATCAAATTCTAACTACAACTCATATACCCCTGTGATTTGGCCTACAAACCACAGAAGTAGTATGCGGTTAGTTTATCCAACTCAAACCATCAACAATGCACTCACTCTGGCAAAAAAACCCAACAGTAGATAATGGTTAGGGTTTGCTGAAACCACCTTTGCTCTTCCATGTTGGTCGATTTGACAAATCACGTGCGTTAAGCTGTCGTCGGCGCCATCCACGTAGCAGAACTGAGCCACGCGGCTATCTCGCACCAAAATGAACACAGTCAATATCTAAGACTATTTTATAGGATTTCACAGCGCAAGGTGATAATGAAGACATTTACATTGAGCTCCAATTAAGTGAGGGAAATATGAATATAGCTAAGGAAGAAGGACTAGTGAAGAAGTTTAAGCTGACAACAACAATTGGAACATACAAAGGTAGCTGGTTCCACATATACCATCACCGGAATAATTGAGGTTGTTGACAACACTACATTGAGGATCACAGAACTGCCAATCCGCCGTTGGACTCACTTGTCCAGGCAACCAGAGGTAAAACTACGAAATCATTTTACACAATGCCAGAGTATGAAGAATGGAGAACGAATTTAGAAGCAAGTGCAATGCCAGAGTATGAAGAATGGAGAACGAATTTAGAAGCAAGTGCAAGTTCATGGACTATAAAATACTACAAGGTCTGGTTGTCCCTTCCGGTTCCTTTGGTTTTTGTTTCACTGATTTGTTGCTTGTGTTTGCTTTTGTGATTTTCCTTTGCTTGCTCTTGTCAATTCTTGGTACAGGGGTTGGGAACAAGCACAGCCCAAGAAGGCCGGGAGTACTTTAAAGCTATTACTGATCACAAAAAGGATTTTGTCTGGGAAGATGACCAAGATGGCAATCATATTGAGTTAGCATTCAGCAAGAAAGGGATTGCTGATAGGAAACAGTGGCTTACAAATTTTCAGGTTAGCTCTTGCATCTTTCCCCAGTTCGGCATGGTTTGTTTATGCTGGATCAACATTAAATCTGCAAACTGATTTTCAGCCTGGAACGTATATTGACCAACAAGAGAAAAAAGTCAAGTATAGTGATTTCATCAACAAAGAGCTGAGGTGGGATAACAGGGCAAAAGCGTGTACTTGTGAGGATACGGATCGAGATTCCGTCGGAAGCAAGGGGAGCACGAATAAGGAAGGATTCAATTCAAGGTGGGCACGGTCGCTCACCCGTGGGGAGCCGGAGACGGGCGCCGCGGAGACCCGCGGCCAGCGCCGCCGAGAGCCGCGTCCAGGCACCGGATCCGCCCGTTCCACCCGCCCTGATGCCGCTCCGCCCACCCTGCGCCCGGCCGCCTCCGCTCCGCGCCGCCTCGCCCGATGCCACTTTGCTCCGCCCCTCGCCCACGATGCCGACAAGCGCTTGAGCTTGCCCCGCCGCCACGCCGCCTCCGCCGCCTAGAACCGCGTTGCCCGCTCCCTCCCTCTCCGATGCGGTCCGATGGAGTCGAGAAACAGCCAGAAAGGATAAGGGGCGGTCTGGCCATTTGGACTTTTCTTTTCAGGTTTGGAATTTTTTTAATTCATCTATTCGATGACCATCTGGACGGACGTCCAAAGCAGGGGTAGATGGACACTTTAGTTCAAAATAACAAGAACAAAAACACAAAGTTAAAATAATAGGAACAAAATCACAATTGGAGTACTGACAAGGACAATAACACAATTCTTCCAATAATTTAATTGTGTTCCTATAAGTTGTTAGCTTGGAGCTCCCATTGGATAGTAGGGTAGGTGGGTACTGATAACAGTGTGTCCAAGTACCATGAAGATACAATGAACCTACGCATCGCTTTTATAAAGCGTTGGTAAAAAAACTAAAGTCGAATGCTGAAAGATCATTTGAAACGCTACGTTTCTGTAGTTCAAAATCCTACATCAAGTTTTTTTTTACAGAAGTACTCCCTCCGTTGAATAAATTAGTTTCTAAAGTTATTTTTAAGTTAAGCTTTTTTATGTTTGACCAATTTTATAGAAAAAATATAAATATAAATGCTTATGAGACCAAATGAGCATAGTATGAAAATATAATATACAGTATATCTAATGATATTCATTTATTGTCATAAATCTTGGCATTCTTTTCTATAAATTGGCCAAAATAAAAAATTAACTTAGAGAACTCTAAGAATTGATTTATCCATAACAGAGTGGGGTAATAATTTGTGCCCATTATCAAGTCCTTTTTTCATCAATTTAGAGGTAAATTCAATATATAATGTTCTTAGACTAACCAATTTTTAAATTGTTTTGAAAAGAAAAGGAGTTGGTTATTTTATTTAGATCTCCACTAATTGCAAATATCTCGCGCCTCCAAAATTCATAACTGCCATGATTCATTCGTAGAAGGTAGCTTCGCCTCAAAGAGAAACGACGATCAGCTGGCCGAAAAAATCCTTTGCCTGACCCCGGGTCAGTTGGTTCCAACTTGCACTTTCGGAAAAGCGCAAAGATTCCTCGCAGGGGCATTACCGGAACAGATACATGAGCTCAGAGCACATTAGCCTACTACAGTCGGCACATGTGGTCCGAGTAAACCGAAAGAGTATTAAAACTGATCTCTTGTGTTGTTAAGATAAACAATTCGAGGAGGAACTGATTCTTGTGTTGGCTCTAAATTTTTACATTAAAGATGGTTGAGAGGCGCAGAATGGCTCGTACTAAAGTTGCGATTCAGTCGAATCTGTCTAGCCAACAACGGGTTGTTTTAGTCTTTCTAACAACTAGATTTTTTACATACACTTACACTGTCTTATAGCTATATTTACATCGCCTTATTACTATATTTATTTACAATTATTTCTTCATTGTAATTTATTGGACACGGTGATGTAATTTAGGGTACCACAACTTTTATTTCTATGGATTGCATATCTCAGAAAATATATGCCAAAATTTTCAAAAAAATTACAAATTATTTTTATGAATTGCAGACATCAGATAATATATGTCAAATTATTCACAAATTTTAGAATAACTTAGAAATTACTCACAAATTATGGTGGGACCCACCCTCCAACCTTATCTCTTCCTGGGCATGTATGGGCCTTCGTGGGCTAAATATCTAACCGGGCCTGTAGGCAACGACCGTGGGGGCAGTACGTGGCCGAGAGCATGCACAGCCACGCTGAAGTTCCGTGACAGCCGCGAGAGCATGGAAATTCCCGGTGCAGCAGCGGCGAAGGGAAAAATCCGGTTGTTTGCTTAAGGCAAAACAACCGGATATCAAATAGCAATTCTGTAAAAGAAATGTGACCTAACATAGATTTTAATTCAAGCAATAACTAGAAATAGCAAGAGAATAAAGAGAGGTACCGCTTTAGTTCCGTGTGTCAACAAGAAGATCTGCTGAATAAAAAAAACAATTCTGACTTAGCCAAAAGTTTATGCACGCACTCAAAGGATGGTATTGCTAAGCGCAGTCATAGAATAAAGGTCATAACTAAAATAAGTATTATCATTTAAAAAATATTACTATCCCACAAAGATGCCTATTTAAAAGTAGCATAATAAATGTTTTTACATTACTTTTCATTTTCACAAAGTTTGATGGAGCCAAACTACATCATAGAGATGTTTATTCAAATGTATCAGTCCTAGCTCTATATACAAGTCCAATGCCCCCCCCCAACTCATAAAAAACCTAAACCCTCCTCATGAGCGTACATAACACATCACTCCGCGATAAAACATAAGATACTGTGTTACGGTCCAAATCAATCAGCCACGCTGCCTAAACCACCAAACCCCCTACCACTAACCCATCGCGCATCGGCACGCGGCACCCTGGTACACCCACCACAGTGCGCCTAGCAATTCGGCCGCATGATGGACGAACAGAAACAACCCACGGAGGCCCACTGACAGCCACCCAAGACCAGACTAGTAAAGATTCCCTTCACCTTTCTCCCATCATCATTTCATCAGGCGCCATTCTGAAACCACTCCCTACTAGGCCCCTACCCAGGGCAACGAGAATTTACCAAAACGCCCCCGTGTGCGAGTTTACCGAAATGCCCTCGGCCCGGCATTAAATAAGCCTGCCCGGCTCACCTGATCCCCTCCCCCTTCCTTCCCTTTCTTCCGCCTCTCCGATTGAGTGGCTCACTAGAGATTTGAGATTTCAGCTCGGTTCTCCTCCAGAGGCCGAGCAGACCAGACCCGAAGCTCTGCCCAGTTTGCCAGTTCAGGAATTGCTGCTGTTCTTGGCAGATCTTGGCCGGAGATCCAAACTTGCGTGTTGGGGGTTCTCCGGGGTTCCTTGCGCTGGAGGGAGGTTTCGTTCTCGCCGGCCATGGTTTGGCTGGGAAGCACCAGCAGCACCTTGATGCCAAATCTCTGAGCTTTATGAAGATCGCCACTCACCTGCGCCGCTCCTGCTTCCTCCACTCCTTCTCGGTTGTCTTCCTCTACTGGTTTTATGTGATCTCATAACTTGCCCTCCCCCGGATCCGCCATTCCTGGTTCTTCTCTCTCCGTCCCCCTCTCCCTTCTCCCTTCTTCCTTGCTTTCCCGAACAATCGACGAATAAATACTAGCACTAGCCGCAGCGGCAGCTGTAGAGGATCTTTTTGGAGGTAAGCCGGGGAAAAAAAGACCGTGTCTTGATGTCGTCGTCGTCGCTGTCTCCGGCGGCGGGGAGGACGTCCGGGTCGGACGGGGACTCGCCAGCTGCGGACACGCACCGGCGCGAGAAGCGGCGGCTGTCGAACCGCGAGTCAGCGCGGCGGTCGCGGCAGCGGAAGCAGCAGCACCTGGACGAGCTGGTGCAGGAGGTGGCGCGCCTGCAGGCCGAGAACGCGCGCGTGGCCGCGCGCGCCGCTGACATCGCGTCCCAGTACGCGCGCGTCGAGCAGGAGAACACCGTGCTCCGCGCCCGCGCCGCCGAGCTCGGCGACCGCCTCCGCTCCGTCAACGAGGTGCTCCGCATCGTCGAGGAGTTCAGCGGCGTCGCCATGGACATCCAGGAGGAGATGTTGCCCGCCGACGACCCGCTGCTCCGCCCGTGGCAGCTGCCCTACCCCGCCGCCGCCATGCCCATCGGCGCCCCGCACATGCTCCACTACTGATGATGATTGCTTGCTTTGCTTCCACCTACCATCGGGAAGGAGGCAGGCAGCTGGGGCTGGTTGGCACCAAGACAAGAAGAATTGGCTGCGTCTCAACACATGATCACATTCACATCTACTACCTTGCTGCTTTGAGAATTACATAGGCTCTACTACCTGCTGCTGTGTTAAATCTACCTCCTGGTTTCTTCAACAGTTGTTGCTGTTCTGTTCTGTCTGTCAGTCAGTGTGTATTGTATGAGATGATGCTCATCTTATGTTATGTAAGGCTTAATTATGTGTCTGGTTGTACTTTATGTCTTGTAATGTTATATGAATAATAAGTGTTATGTAATCTTCTACAGTTAGTGTTTATTCAGATCTGATGATGTTTCAGTTTTTTTATATGGTTAGCTTATTCAGCTAGCAAGTTACTCCATAAAAACATTTTCTTGTGGAGTTCAGTTGGGAAATTTTCTAGCCTGGTGAGGTGCCAACTTCACTTCACATGATTATGGGTCACTTATGAAAGATTTCATGAGTCACAAAAGTTGTGAGTTCATATCAGACCTCAAAGCAAGGAGAAAGGCATCAAAACAACTTGAGTGCATAGTAACACATCTAAAGCGATCAAATCAAAGGGCATATCTTCTGTTGCAAAGCTCTTCGTGGGATCCTGTCTGCTGACAGCTCCCTCTCCTATGTTGCTCGCCGATCTATATTTCCTTGGCATCGAAGCAGTAAAAGAACACTTGTTTTCATCGGAAAAATACAAAATGCATATGACAAGATGCATTATTGCATCGGCATGCATCCTCTTCGTTTCCTTCGCCTACTCACTCCCTTAGTTTGTACTTTGCTTGTGTTTTCTATAAAGTTAAAAGTTATAATAAAAGCTTAACCTGGAGCAACCGAAAGTCTAAACCAACCTCATTTTGGTACTGATGAAGTATATGTCTAAAAAAAAAGAGTAATAGAGCATCTCCAATAGTTCCTAAAAAACAATTGTCAAATCAATGAGTATTCTAATTCACTATATTTGTTGGCTTTCTCCAAACATTTCCAATATCTCGTCTCTAAAAGCTAGAAGGTATTTTTGTATCAGAAATTCTGGATTATTTTCAATTCACTCCAGTCACCAGTTACTAGGTCTTATACATTTACATTGGGAAGCCTGTTCCTTCTCCATTTCTTTCTCATGCCCTTCCATCTTCTGGATTGACAATAGGATAAGCGCACATATCTTTTCATGCCATTGGATCGATTTTACCAAGTGCAGAAAAGATAGGGACTCGGGATAAAGAATCGCTGAAGAGAGTTTTTTTTTTTAGTTTTGCCAAAAAAAACAAGATTGTTTGAGAGTTTTGTAAAGGTCTCAGAATGCTCTAAGCAATCGTTTAACATCCATGACAAATGCGAAAACGACAGTGAAAGGCACAAGAAAACCTTAGAAACTTATCCTGACCGAACCAGTGACGTTATCAAATGAAAGAGCACCAGCTGAGCGTGCAACATGTCAATATTATTAGTGCATCACCCACTCAAAAGTTACGTCAAAACACAAGTTTGGGAAAGGCCTGTTCACATAGAGTCGAGCACAGTTACTCGCAAAGATCACAAAAACATATGTAAAAGTAGATCAGATGTTTGGTATGACATGGACATGCTCAAATAGTCATGACAAGGAAAGGAAATTCAACAAAATCTGGTGTTCTCAAATGGTTATGCTTATTTTCAAGACAAATCTCCACAGCATTCACTTTGTCATGCTCTCCAGAGAGTTTTGAAAGCTGGCAAAATAAAGAACTTCAAATTTGACATCTGGGAACTACTCCTCGACGACGACGCTGATCTGGCCCTTGTCAAGCATGTCGTAGAAGGATCTAGTCTTCCTCTGCTCGTTCCAGTGGTGCATCTTCCACATACCTCCAGCAATCAGACCCAGGGTCAGTCCAATGAAGATCTCCTTCACCACGCTAGGGCCCTTGAGGGTGGCATGTGCAACCCTGCCACCTGCCATTTGCTTGCTTGTTGAGGTCAGACGTCAAGTGCCTGAAGTGAAAGCAATGGAGATTCTGTGAGCTGATACGTGGGAGCAACAGGCAGACAGCATATCTTCACTAAGGTAGAAAGATACTCTTAATAAATGCAGACATGTGCATACAGCATCACATTTTGGCACATTCAAATTCTATGATTAGTCACACCTACAAGGGGAGGCTAAGGTGATATTTATATAGCAAAATTGGATTCAAAATTGTATTAGTAATGACGTATTATGAAGAATCGCCCAAAAATATGCAGAGACATAAGCTTCGCAAAGCCAACAGGGTATTCAAAAATAGTGGAGGGGGTTTATTGTTCAACAGCAATCTCTCCCAGAAAATCATCATCAAAACTCAAAAGAGTCAACTCCCTCTATTGTTACATTTGCATCCTAAATTGCCCTATTCACCACAAAACATTTCTTAATGAGGGCAGAAATAGAAAATGACACCTGAAACAAATTCCAGCATTGGTCTCAATCATTGCTTCTTTGACCAAAAAACAAATGTACACCAGGTACCCTTCACCTAACCTGGCACTCACTCCCAAAACATAGCCATCATATCAAACAAAGCCACAAAATGCTGCAAAGCAAATTAGTTGGACGAATTTCCTTATCACCCAACAAAGAATCAAGGTAACAATATCAACATCCTAGCATCTGCAATAGCGAGAGCTGAAACTATCCACTACCTAACAAGCATACATCAAACCAGACAGACAATAATCGGCCTGTTCACTGGTTGGTTTCTGGGCTGGTTTAGGCTGGCTGGTGCTGGTTTGTTGTGAGACAAAAACACAGTTGGCTGGCTGGTTTGGGCTGGCTGAAACCAACAAGCGAACAGGGTGAATATCAGAATCGCACAAGGCTGCATCATTGATTTATCATCTACTAAACAACAAATGTATTAATAAGCTATGAGGTTACCATGCTGATTTTCAATTCGATGCAAATCTTAGATGTTACAGACACGCCCAACAAAGACCAATGAGCATGCTCACAAAAACTCCAAACAGAAACAAAAGGTAGCTCACTTTGATCCAAGTGGTTGTCAGATGTTGGTCCCTCACTGTCCTGCACAGGATAAGCAGTAAGCTTACCATCACACACACTCACTCACTATGGTTAGAGGTAGAAGAAGGGGTGAGCTCAGGCGCGCACACACAGCCAGAGCTCTACTCTTTTGGTTGTGGCAACTGAACTGACTGTTTTCATTGCATAGAGGTAGAGTATAGACAACTCATGTACCAACTATAAGGTACACATGAGCATGGCTGAGTACAGCCCCAACTACTCCTAGTACTAGCAGTACAATTCCTATCTCAGCCCACTAGCAAGACATGGCTGATGTATTAGCTACCAACTAATATACCAGTGGTGGCCTATTGCCCTACTGCTACAACAACTAGGACAGCAGAGAATGATCTATTGCCAAATCTGTTGTGCAGCAAACAAAGAGTGAGAGGTCAGCAGCAGATTATGTCTTATAATTCTTCCCTAATCCTGCTGCTAACCCAAAGCCTTGACCTCATCCATGCCAATCATCTTCCTCGGCTCATGATCCATGATCCGCTTGGTGAGTATGTCAATGAGTGGTGCGCGGTCTCAATTGACTTGGTGAGTATGTCGGATGTGTCCGATCTGCGGTCTCAACAAACTCGATGATGATCTCCTCCTCCGACGCGACGATTGTCCCCGAAGTGGAACTTGATGTTAATGTGCTTGCTCGGTCGTGGAGGACACCGCCACAATCTTCGATTCTTGGCGAGGGCGACGGAGGGCAAAATGCTGATTGTCCACCATGTTCGCGTCATTGGGAGCTCGGCTCACCTTCCTTTGCCTTTCCTCATTGAAGACCGTGAGTGGCCGTCAACTTCGCCATGATCGCTGATCGAGGGTCCCCGATGTAGCATGCAACAACCTTTTCACCGCCCGTCCAAAGTGATCCTCACGATGAAAAACAAGCGCGATTCCAGCCTAAGCGTGACTAAGCGGGCGGAGGCACCCATGGCCTAGGGGTGAGGCGGCATCTAGGCGGTGGGCGCGCGTGCTTTTACGCGAGCGTACTCAAAGAAAGCGGCACGCCGAAGGATCGATTCAACGGCACACAATCTTCGCTTGCGCGAAGCTTGTACTTGACGTCGTGGACCCGTTGGCTCTTCTCCCGATTGCGCCGCCTCGCCGCCGATTGGGGCTGCTCCAAGGAAGACAAGCACCCGAGAGATGCTCCGCGCGCTCGTCGATGTCGCCGCCATGTCTGCGCTGCGTCATGGCCACCGCGAAACTATGAGCTCCGGCCACCTTCCTTTGTCTTGGGGGTGCCTCATCAAGACCGTGAGCCGCAGCCCACCCTTGCCACCACTCTTGGGGAACATGATCGCTGATCGAGGGCCCCGACGCGGCGTAAAGCAGACACCTTTTCACCGCCGTCCCCAGTGATCCTCACGCATGAAAAAACAAAGCGCGCGATTCCTCCGCGCCGCCATACTGCTGACGATGCCTCTCTTTCCGAGCGGCGGTGTAACGCGCGGCGGCGCGGTGGTGTGGCCCAAGGAGTCATTTTGACCACCTTGATCCAATGCAGCGCGCTTTCTGACACTTGCACCTTCGCTCAAACTCTACAAAGGTGAATTCCGCTCGCCACGATCGATCCAGACGACACGTCGAGGTGTAGCTTCTTGCCGCCATCTCGCCTTTCATTCGTGCCTTGAACTTCTTGACCGCTTCGATGCCCTCGGTCTTTGGGTGACCGTCTTATACTTAACAATGGCGCCGCGTCGTCGCTGGGCCCAATTCAACCCGATCGCAACCCCACATGAACCACCAACTCCCATGTCCCATTGTCCTCGAGTCATCCACCAACATCGCAAGAAGAAGAATGCAGCCTTGCAAGCGTCGCCGCGCGTCAGCCCTTCAAATCGGCCGCCATGAGCATGAAGCAATCCACCAACGAACTTCCCATTGTCCGTCACCA